GTATAAATTTATTGTACAAGTCGTTTGAATTATAATTGTTTATACATAGAGTATTTTGATATATATTTTAGAGGCCTGTTGTTCTATGTCATTCCTTTTTAAAAATTGAGAATAACTTTCATATCTTGCAGCAAGCAAAAAGCAAACTAACGATGAAACAATTATAGTACTGTACGCTTTCTGGAGAATCATGTTTCAATTTTTGTTTGAAATATTTTTCAAAACTCGATTTTGTCGAAAATGAAAAAATTTTATTCTTCCTCTTCGACTCATCTTTTCACGTAAAATAAACTCAGTTGAAAATTCTCCTGGAACAATGTGTATCAGAACTTAAAGAAAACGAATTTTCTTTTAATCATTCTATTGCTAGTACTGCCTTGAAAAGGGCAGAATTGAAGCGAACAAAAAAAGTGTGTTCATTCGTTTGATGGAAATACAGTTTCTTTCCAAGAACTTTTCTAGTCTTATAATTTATACAATTATTACTCCGGAACGGAAGTTCTCGAAATTGTCCCTGACCACGTGATGCTCGCATGACAATTTAGGGTATGTCCGACGCAAAACCGGTGCCAAAATCGGGATAAGTATGGATACACGTTCCTCTTAACGAGCAACTGATCTCGCCTCGTGAGATTATCCCAAATTAACTTAACAGATCAGCAACGGTTTGTCACCGACCGGATGACAATATACGAGAGTAATCGGACAGAAGGTGATCATAAATCAGAAACTCGTTAGAAATTTTATCGATATCTCGAATTTGAAATTAGCGAAGCGATTCGGTGTTCCCAGAGTATTGTCTGGATGCCAAGGGAAAACTTGGAATCTGTTGATTATTTGAGAAAGAGGCACGTGCTACGTATTGTTCAACGTTAGATGTTGAACCTGTGAGCAATTTTCTTTCTACGTTTTTAATCATCAATGAGGGAAATGCAGAAGCTGTTAATGAAACGTTGTTAACATTAAATATTTAGCAAATTATTATTGTTGAATATTGATAATGATGATGTTATGAATATTATATTAATTAATTTATATTAATTAATTTATCAATGAAGTTATATAAATTTATTGATTTACAAAATATTATGGTATAATTTTTATAATTGTGATATAATTTTTAAAAAAAGTATATAGCATTAAGTAATGAGTAATAATAAGCTTGATTAATTCAGTACGTAACAATACAATTCACTAATAATAAATGCTTATATATAGCAATCTATAGGGAATGATTATTAATAATTAAGAAAGAATATTAGAGTATTAATAAAGAAAAAAAGAATGAAAGAAATAAAACTAATAATCACAAAAACCAGTAGAAAACAGTCAGTAATTGATACATAATAATTAATTATTACTATTGTTATTATCATTTATTATTATTATTAAATAATCATTATTAATTATTAAATATATTGGATAATAATTAGAATAACGAAACATTATAAATTAATAAAAAATAAATTGTAATATATATTAAACATGGAACATATACTAGCAAATAATAATCGAAAAGTAAAATAAGTAAAATAACAAGATATCTCAGAGTGGAAGAATAAAAATTAATGAGCATAAAATTGTCAATAAAAACAGCATACTAAGTAATGAATAATGAAGTTACAAAACGCCATAAATCAGTGGAAAATAAAAATTGTGATAAACACTAAACGGAAACTAAGAAATAATGAGAAATATTATTTGTAACATATAACTATAATAATAATAAGAAATAATAAGAAATATTATATGACTAGTAAATTATAATCAATGAATAAATAAAATAACAATGTAGTTCATTCATTCAATCATTTTCTAACGCTTCTGTTGCTCATCCAATGTTTCATTCAATCAAAACGATGGCCATGTGCAACGACTGGAATTTTACTGGAAAATGCTGGCATTTAAAATTAGCATGGAACGCGAATCATTCGCACGTATTCAGCCCAAATGAACGTTCAATTCTACACCCGCGTGTTTCCTCTTTTAAGCAAGTACCGTATCTGCTTGAAGGCGGATATTCCAGGAACGAATGTGTCTTCAAATCAAACCGTATATCCCCCGCGAATTTACTATTCGCTATTAATAAAGTGTCGCAAATGCATAGCAGAGATTTGAAATGAAATATCAGAGTATGCGGTATGTATGAAATTCACGGTAATATTGAAAGCACGATTGATTTCAATTCAAATGTTTAGAGCATTGTTGGTTTTTGTTCACTCAAGTTTCAAACTGTTCACAGTTCACAGTTCACAATTGTTTCACGGTTCATTCAAACGAAATCCAAACTGCTTTTGCTTCGTTTTAATTTGTACAAATTTCATGAAATATGAAGTTCTTGGTAACTTTGATATAATAATATTTTATTTGTAATACAATAATTTTAATTGTAAGTAATAATAATACATTTTATTGTAAATAATGAAAACTATGTAATTCTTTTACAAAGGTATGTATGAGATCTAAATGATATTGTTTTATTTTACTATAAATCTATTTCAAAAATAACTGAAGGAACTGTTACAATAAGGTGATGAATAATAAAAACCTACTTAATCCGAAATTAATCAAAATCAAATCATTGTTTTTTTTCTTGTAAACTTTCTATAAATGCATATGTAGTCAACTAAATAATAAATTTTTACGCTTTTTTAATCTTTTCTAAACCAAAACTACCTTTTCATTGCTGCAAACTTTTTAATTTACGTTGCAAATTGATAAAATAAAATAAAATTAATAAAGTATATTTAGTATTTTCATCAACAGTATTTAATATCAGAAATCGAGAAAATTATGAAACTTTTTATTAATTCTTTAAACAACGTTCTCACATAATAAATTCCAATAAAAACAGATAAAGAACAATTCTTGCAAATAAAAGTTTCAATTGGAATACAGTATAAAAATATAAAATTTTTCTACAATAGAAATAAATAATTCGTTCATTTAGAAAGTTCTCAATCATTGTAACGAATATCATTCAATGAATAATTAAATTCTTTGATAAATGCTTTGAATATGTTATTTATTGATAATATTTATATATACATAATTTACAGGCCAAAATATTTTTGTGTTTTTCTTTGAAGAATTACTATAGCTAAGAAACTATGGACGTTATGTTAAGAAACTATTGAACAAAAATATGATATTTATAAATTAGTGTATGTTTCATCATCATTGATTAATTAATCTGATTTTTAAGTATTATTTGAACTCTCAATGATATTATATTGTTAAATAAAACTAGTATCTAATAGTTTGGTATCTTTATTCATATTATGAAACGTTCCGAAATCACTTGTTGACTTTATTTGTTGACTGTACTTTTATTGTACAGATTGTAAAATTAGACCTAAAATTAGAATCATCAGAGTGATCAAAATAATCAACTTATAATTTTTCGTAGAAATTTTATAGACTTATAAAACGGTGAATTTTTAGAGATTTGAATGATTTCTCAGAAAATACATAAATAAGTGATCTTTACTGTAATACAAATTTTTTGCGTTTTCGTATTTTGCAATTTATCCGATACAAGTACTATACTTCAGCCATTGGCTGGTTCTAGTGCTAAAGAGGCTTCTAAAGATAACATTTCTTTTTATAAAAATTCTATAAAAATAGGAACAGATATATTTTTAAATGAAACATGTACACTTAATGGCAAAAGTTAAGAAACAATTTTGTTACACAATAAATACATGAATAGTCATTGTATGTGTTAAAATAGAGAAGAAGATGCAAATGTTCCATATATTATGAATTTTTCGATTAAATATTTGCAACGACAGTATTTATAACAAATACAATAAATAGGATTCTAAATCAGTTCTTGATTTTTAATACAAATAAAAAAAACTATAAAAAACTTTATGTATTGCAACATGTTGCGAAATCATGTACTACAATGTATTCAAGAAAAAATGTTGAAACAAAAAACAGAATGATTATTTTTACCGATCCTAGTATTCTTTCAAAATAATTAAAATACTTTTGTACGAATTAATTAATTAACGTAATATGGGGTCATATTAATCATTAGGCTTGAATCCAATGGAACATTCATGAAATTACATAAACATCAATTGAAAATTTTTTCATTAATAAATTATAACTAATGGAGAGAAATTACAAAGATATTGTCTGACATATCGACTGAGTTTTATATTAAATTAACTAATCAATTTCTCGTAAATGCCGTAAATATGGAAATTTGCATTCTATGAAAATTATAGATATTTATTACAGAATATTTATTATAGATATTTATTATAAACGAATATAGAAATCAAGTACAATATGTTTCTTAACTTTTGTCATAAGAATTTTAACTGAGCTTTTGTTTTAATATTAATTGTGACCTTTATAAAATTATTCCAAAAAATACTTGTACTGTATTAATGCATGATATACCACATTACGCTATTTTTGTTTCCAGTTTATATACCTATAAAATTAAAAATTAAAGAATAAAGAAACTTTTGTTAATAAGTCTAAGAACAAAATTTTATATATACATATATATATATATATATAAATTTTGTTCTTACAATTTTATATATATATACAAAATTTTGTTCTTACATTTATTAACAAAAGTTTCTTTATTCTTCAATTTTTAATATATATATATTTTATACATTATATTTATATTATATTATATTATATTTTATATATTTATTTATTTTATACATTATATTTATATTATATATAGTTATTTATTTTATTATATATATATTTAATACAAATATAATAGAATATATAGTGCACCGATTAGTCGTAGTTTTGATGAACGAACGAGCCGGCCAACATAAAGGGGTGGTTGTTCAACGGGCGTCCCGATGTCGAAGAATTATCATTTCCGGTGCTGGCGTCGGCTGACATGGCACGAATTCTCACGGAATTGGCTCGGAAAATATTTCGGCAGTTGGAATTTACTTGGTGGGAGCCTTTTGACGTAGCTGGTATCTTATAAAAAGACGCGCAGCGTCGCGACGCTGCATTCGCACACGAGAGCCCAGAGGCGTGCACACGTCGTGAGAATATCTCAATCTTGAACGCGATTTCCCTCGACACATATCAAACAGTATTACGTCGTATCCTACTGCGTATTCATATTCCAGTTCCCTTTGTTTTCGTCTAGTCTGTTCGAATATCGAATACTAGTTTACAGTGCGTCGACGATGTCTTCGGTGATGTTAGTGAGTATCCTTTGGCAGAGTGTATTCTCAATTGATTATTAGTGTTTGATATTTCTAACGTGTAGTAGAATAACGTGTATAGAATTTTTGAAACACATTTATCCTTTGACTGATTGAACTTTTAATTTGATTTAATTAACGAGATAGAACTACGTTTGATATTTCTAACGTGTGATATGTATATGTATTTGTTCTTTGAAAGATTGAATTTTTAATTAATTATGCATGAGAAATAGAAATATACATTACTTCTGCACATATATTTTGTGTATAATGCATCTTTGTTTGATACGTATAATAATTAATTAATAATTGAAAATAAATAATTGTTTGCTAGTAATTAATTAATTATATACTTTTTGATTCGTATTTTATATATAACCCTGATTTTTTTGATAAATTATTTCTATATGTGTATAATGCACATCTTTGTTTGATATATATATATATATATAATTGAAAATAATTAATTATCTTTTGGTAAGTAATCGATTATATACTTCTTAGTTTGTATATAGTGTGTATATATTCTATATTAGTCTGTATATATCAGTGTGTATATATTCTATATTAGTTTCATCTTAGTGTGTATATATTCTATATATAATGCAGTTTTTTTTTTTGTACACATGTATAGCATACATATGTTAGATGAAAGTTAATTATCTGCCATAATTGATTAAGATTAGATTATTTCTTCCTCTAATTATATTATGTTAATCTTTCTAATAATTCATTCTAATCTACTTTAATAAGTAGCGAATAATTTCTTTCTATTCCACAATGAACCACACAACACTGATATCTTCGCTCATTATTTATAATTTATATTTCTATTAAATTTTCTGTTCTCTTTTCTAAAAACTTCTATTGCGATTTAAAGAATCCTATCGTTTGAAATCCAACTTTCAGAGCAACTACATATCGCTTGTCGAGTGACCTAGTAGTTTTGGCCAGCCGTGACAGTGAACTTGCGTTTGGCCGGCATCAACCTATTTTACTGAATCAGCAGCGGCGCCATTCAGATTCATTTTCTGAATTTACATTTTCTTATTATTCAGATATACGATTCTTCCTGAATTCTGCAATTCTTTGTTAGTTTCTGCTTAAAAAGTATCTGCATCCTCTTCTTTTCTTCTCTTTCTTATAAATTGATATATGACCGTGTAATAATATCTTTTTATTATTGTATATTAAGAAAGAAATTTCGTAAAGAAACGAATAAAAAAAGTATATTATTGAAATTCTATAAATTCTTCACGCGTATGTACATCGTATCATATCGTTACAAAGAGTTCCTAGTACAAATTATCTGAAATAAATTCTTGTATAAAAGTGATCACAATTTAACCAAAACCAAATATTTTTTTAACAATTTTGTAGTAAAAAAAAAAATCGATAATTAAAATGAAGAATATATAAAATGAATATATATTCACAGAAAATCACGAAGGTTGCAATAATTTTAATTGATTAATTATTATTAACAGAAAAGTTTCCTGTGCGATCATTTTTCTTAATTCATGAAATCGATTCAATATATACGTCGACTGTATATATCAAATTTGTTAGAGTGCCGTCCAAGTATCTTTTGTGGCCGGGGTCGCTCTGTAAATGGCCCAGGTTGGCCATTGTCCAACATCGTTGATCAAACACACTGTGGCACTCTCATCTTTCTCGAATCCTCAGTCCTCTTCGCATACTGGCGACAGGAACATCAAAATTAATTCGAAGTAGAAGCGTTCAAACGTTCTCAATCTCTGCACGATGACTGATTCGGACGATGTGAGTGGTGTTCGATGTTTGCGAGTGAAACCGAGTTGCAAAATTGAGTTCTACACAATACGTCTACACAGTTTCCGCTTTCTGCGTTTTGAGTTAAATCTTTTCGATCTTTACTTTTTATCGCGAATTAGAATCGCTTCAGACTGTTGGCGGTGGAAGACAAATATTTTTAAGCGCGACGATTCATTTAATTGTGCACTAATTCTGGTTTCGAAGCGTTTAGAAGAAGTTGAGTTGAATAATTTGCAGAAGAAACTTCGTAAAACGTAGAAAACTGTTTTAGATTGAAAAAACTTTTGGTCCTTTTGCCGTTTGTTTATCGAAACAATGTTTAAAAGTGAAAGTGATGTAAAATATTGACCGTTATGACCTTGATTTCAATGATTTTTCTTCGTTCGTTGGAACTTCGGTTATTATTGCGAATGACTTTATGACGCATTTTTGAGCTGCTTTCACGATTACGTGAAACTCGAGGCTTAGAAGCCCTATTGTTGATTCTCACGATAAGAACGCAATGTCAGTTCTCGCTCGACTACGCTGTGCTTCCCTTGCAAACAATTTGTATACTGCTTTCTAACAACTTCATACATCTATTGTATTTCACTGTTTTACTGTGTACTGTATTTTCTCCTTTTTTTAAATTTCAAAAATACTTTTCCTGCTATTAAGATCAGTGTCAATGTAATTTTGCTTATAAAAAGCTTATATTGTCACGTTCTTTTTCGCTAGTACAGTGAATGGAAATAATTGTTATAGTGATTTTAAAGTATGAAAGTGATTGAAATATAATGAAAATCGAGTTTTCTTATTATAAATAATTTTAACTAAGAAATAACTAAAATAATAATTTATAAGTAATTTAGTAATAAATAATTACAATAGTAATTTGTATTATTACAATAATAATATATGTAATATTACAATAATAATAATGTAATAATTATATTACAATAATAATGTAATAATAATATTCCAATTATTATGTAATAATTATATTACAATAATAATAATGTAATAATTTGTAATATTACAATAATAATATTTAGTAATAAATAATTACAATAATAATTTGTTCTAAATAATTAAAATGATTTTACTATAAATTTATTATAAATGTATAATTTCAAAAGCTTGTAGGGAGTCGATGAACCAAGAAAAATAGTATTTGAGAGATTCGTTTGTTTTTTTTGCTGCATTTTGGAGAAAGTCATAAAAAAAAAATTTCAATTTTCTCACTTATTCAGGCTGTCAAATCATAGTTGCAGTGCATCAAACATCATCAGAACCAGCTATCATGCCTAGTTGCGATCAGAACGATCAACGATGTAATGCTTGTATTGCTGCAAGTGAACAATTTTTTGAACAGTATCTTCATTAAATAGACAATATAGAATATAGATGATACTATAAGAGGATAATAAACGGATGGTAAAATAGATGGTAACATCAGCGAGAGTAAATAAATAAGTGAAAAAAATGAAAATCTTTTTGTTTCTTTTTTGCGATTTTCTCCAAAATAAGACGAACACGAGCAAATCTCTGAGCAGTTTTCTTTCTTGGTTTATTAGCCTCCTACACGTTCTCAAAGTTTTAACGTTTAAATTGGATCTTTTTTCATTTCAGGAATCGTTCAACGACAAAGTAGCAATGTTCGACCAATATGCGAACAAGCACAAGGATAAGCAGAGCAAAAATCCATTCACGTCCGGCTTAAACATTGAAAAACGGAAATTCTCGAAGGAGGAATATGGCAGGTGAGTTTATTCGATCATCATCGAACGTTATAGCTAACGTGTAATTAAAGCTTCTCGAAATAAAATCCAAATGATGAAGTGTAACACGCCAAGGAGATCATTTATTCATAAATGAAAAAATTTGATTGACCACAGGCCGCAAGCTGGCTCTTTGACAGACATTCGTGGTCGTAAAGCAACGGCACACATCCTCAAAGAGGTGCTCGAACTTTGCGAGATCATTCATCAAGAGGGAACGCCGTGTCGGGACCAACCAGAAATTATTGCCATCACGTTTGGCGATCTATTCAACATTTACACTCACATAAGCGATAAATGCGTAGGGCTGCTGCTGAGAGCCAGGAAACAAAAGTTCGTGGACTTCGAGGGAGAGGTTCTGTTTCAGGTAGCAAATCATTAACACATGTCTCACTGTGTCTTTCAACGTTGAAAATTGAAAATTCGAACGTAACTACTTTCATTCTCAACTGGATATTCGAAGTTATAAAAACTTTGATTTACATTAACTAGTTGATATTTTATAACAACCTAGACAGAGAAATCAATTTTCTGTCTAGGTCTCCTTTTCTACATTTGATTTAAAATAAAAATTGAATTGAATTTGCATAAAATTGAATCTGCAGTATACTAATAACGTTGATAAAGTAATTTTATAGATGAGAATTTATACTTTGTATTTAAAGCTGATTAATTGAAATGAATTGAATAAAAGTCTGCAGTATACTAATAACGTTGGTAAAGTAATTTTATAGATGAAAATTTACACTTTGTATTTAAAGCTGATTAATTGAAATGAATGGAATAAAAGTCTGCAGTATATCGATAACGTTGATAAGATGAAAATTTATACTTTGTATTTAAAGCTGATTAATTGAAATGAATTGAATAAAAGTCTGCAGTATACTAATAACGTTGATAAAGTAATTTTATAGATGAAAATTTACACTTTTTATTTAAAGCTGATTAATTGATTAACTAATTAATTATTATTTATTACAGAGACGGGATGATGACGTACCAATCTACCTGGTGAAGCCCATCAATGAAATTCGGCAATTATTTAATGAACGACTGAAAGAAATTGCAAAAGAGACGTCGATAAGTTAACAATTACTTTCATCTTTCATCCTGTTCTTCGACGAATAATTCCAGACAAAATTGAAGAGTCCTTGGTTGAACAATGTTATCCTGTATTTATTTTCGATATAGACGTTAGAAGCAACGCGAACGACCATTGTATAGTTTGTAATTTTTACTTGAGGTGTATGTACGTGAAATGAATGAGTGGCTTGGAAATTCAAGAATGAGCCGATGTAGATCGATAAAATATAAACACTGTGCAATGTACAATGTGATATTTCCATAGAGTTATTAGAAATAAAGATTCTTTTCTAGCAGAGATTGTTATTTTTCTCCGTGGAATCATAATTGATTGAGAATCGTCAATTTCAAATTTAAATATCGAATATTCAGAATCGTAGATAATTTTTGGGAATATATATTTGCAAGTCGTATTCTGGGAATCTAAGAATTCCTATTGTTTATATCCTAGCATTAATTATGACATTTTTATTGAATCATATATTATATACGAGTTATTCTAATTTAACTTATTATCATTGAAATAGGGATTCAAGAATGAAAAAAAAAACTCTACTGCATGTACTTACAAGAAATTATTAGAAAATTTATTTTCGTTTTCACTATGTTTGTAATAATAACTTTATATAAATTATTATATTAATTACATATATACATATTTCATTTATATAATTTATATGTAATATAATGTAATAATTTATATAAATTATTTTGTATTTTATTTATATTATTATATTATCATATTCTATTTTATATATTATAAATGTGTATATATATATAATATACATTTCATAATTTATTTTTTTAATAAATTATATTAATGATATATATAAGTTTTATGAATTGACATAGAGAGAAGAAAAACAAATTTTCTAATAATTTCACGACCTCAGTTGAATCCCCATTTTCTGAATTTTCTTTATTCAAATATTATATTACTAGAATAGAATATCTGTTAGCACATCAATTTTTAATTATTAACATAGACATTTTGTTCTGATAATATAATATAAAATATAAAAATAGAGAAATTCACTTAAGAGAGGTATTCCACTGTTATTACATTGTATAAACACAAGATTTCACTTGCAATCTTTTCTTGCAATCATTTTTCATTGTCAAATCTGTTTTTCAATATTGTGGTTCTGAAATAAAAATATCATTTTTGTCACTGTTCCAACCAAAGTTTAGAATTATATAAAATTGAAAGAAATTAAAGTCTTAAGTTAACTTTCTTAACATTATGATAAAACATAATTCTTAATCCTCGGAATAAGATAAACAGGAAGAAAAGGCGTGGAACTACACAAAACAATTTTAAACATTTTAAACATTCTTGTGCTCTCTTCCAACGATTGTTCAACTTACATGTCTTCTTGAGTATCATGAAGAATTGCTGTTACATTAAGTTAATATAAGTGTTCATATAAAATGGTACTTTTAAGAACAGAAACAGTTAAACTAGGTTTAGAACGTCTATTCAAAATTATTCAAATGTCAATCATTCCAACAATCGTCGTCGATTTTCCTGAAAAAATCGGGATCGGTGTAGACCATTCGCTCCATTATTTCCAAACCTTTATTCGTACAGAGCTGTTCACGTACAACATTAAAAATAACGCAAGGTTTGTCGCCGTTTTCGAAAGAATACAACGAAATTTCTCGATGTGTAATCCGACCTCGAGCGAGAACGATTAGGCAACGTTCTTTCGTGTAACAAGGATTATAAGCGATTGTCTGTTATTTTCTCAAATGGATAAGACTCGTACATTCTTTTATTTTCTTTGTCTTTCGATAATTATTTAGCCGTTCATTTGCCAAATCGAACTCAAATAAATAAATTACAATTAATACAGGCGTGGCTTTTATCTACAAAATAACGTAGGGCATAATACTTGGAATAATGACATTGGCTTCGGAAATCAATTGTTCATTATTCCATGGCAAAAGAAATTTTTGTCATTTAGCTATTGATGTCCAATATTCAAAATTTGTTACTGTCCATTTTTTAAAAATTCATTTCATAATATACAGAATTATTCAAATTTGACTGTGAAATATAAAAGAAATTCAAAAAATAGAGTTAATCACATTGGCCTCTGAGCGGCTCAGTTATAATAATGGTATATTTAACTTATTTCCTACTAAGTTGAACGGGATAATTATCGATTCTTAATAAAGATCTTGTAAGCTTTGCACGAAGCTTTAATTAGCTCGAAAGATAGTTTTAAAAACTGGAGAAAGAGCGACGATACGTAGAAGATAGATATAAAAGATCAGAGAGCGTAGAAGATAGATTTTTAAAGAGATTGAAAAGAAGTCGGGATCAATGTCTTACGCTTTGTTAATGACTTTGTTACAAATGACTCAGTAACAAGTTAGGTTATCGATTGGCTTTGGATCGATGTGTCGGCATGTACTTTAAAAATTTCAGGGATTACACCATTGGCCAAAAATTATTCTGTACTTTTAGTTACTTAATCCTAGAGATGAATTTTGTAAGATATTTAATTATTATATAATTTATCAGCAAATGGTGTTTAGAATATTTTTATGATTCTAGACAAATAACGCGCAATTTTTGTTTTCTATGAATTAGAAGCGTCTTATACGAGATATGAGCCTGATTCTAAAAATAGTATTTACGCAATGTTGGATCGATTTCTAATTAAAAACTATCTCCGTTTCTTTGTTACAGGCGTTAAGTCAAGTAAATCTTACAGATATAAGAATAAAAGGTCGGTATTTCTAATTCTAAAAACGTACCAGGATTGATATGCTCGGACTGCTATTAGGCTGTGTAATAAATTCGGTAAATTTAAATTGATTGTTCTTTACGAATGAATTGAATGACTTTGAAAGTCTCATCTTTTCATGAAAAAACAATATTATTATTTTTAAAGAACATCTTTCTTACATTAGTAGAGACGATTAATATACTCATAACATTAATAGTGCAGTAAATAAATTTAAAACGTTCAATTTTCCGTAACGAGAAATGACTCTCTTGATATTTTAAACATTATATTGTCAATTTCATGTTATATTTGAAATATTATATAATTATATAATGAATTATTTGATTAATTAAGTCTTTACCTAATTCTTTTTTCAATCTTTCTCAATAAGCACTACTCATTGTAATTGTAACGTTACTTTATATATAAATTACTGAAACGTTATTTACAATTTGTATTTACCAACATTTAATCTAATGAGATTAAATTTAAAATTGAAATTGAAATTTCATAGGATCGTTTTTTCAAATCGAAATTATAATTTGTACCACGAGTGCGATTCAATATTATAAAACAACAGATTAATATTAATAATATATAATATTATAATATTATATAATAATATATAACGTTACATATTATTATTTCAATTTCGTATTATACATGAAATATTTCTGCTATTCGCTTTCTTTCCATTTACAATTATATGTAACGTTTATCTTAAAAAA